ACAGTGTGGAAGGCTGTGTCGCTGATTGTTCCAGCGTTATTATGGGAGATTTTCGACGACTGTAAAACGTGATTTTGGAGCTGACCTGATTATCATTGGCTAAATAAAGAGTGTTTCGATACTTCATGAAGTATTGTCGTTATTCACTCCAGATCTACGAACCCCGTACGAACGTGAAGGAAGAAAATAACGTAACAACTGGCGTCAGAAGAAAAACGCAACAATACAATATCAAGCTCGGATAACAGTTAATCTAGGTTAGTTACTGCGACTTTGAAGCGCCTATTTTAAAGTAACAGCCTATAGAAATTATGCATTGTTGTATACTTTAAAGTGTTTTTCGAATTTTAAAACATCTGTCCACTCACAAATATACTTGAGACTTTGAAATTCGATTAATTACATGTGTTACTACCACAATAAATTTAATTAAAGAAACGTTGAAATCTAGAACAAGGCCAAAATCAGGCCCATAAGCAGTGGAGCAATCACCTGAAATAACTTTGAATAAAATTAACAACTAAAATAAGAACTTAAAGTCTAGAAACTGATGAGATTTACCAGCTGTACCAACGAATAATACATTATTATATACTTTGTAAAACAAAATATAATACATGCATAAAATGTGCACTATATGCATAAAAATATTTTACTTACATATACAAGAAATAAAATAACAGAATGTCATAAACACCTTAGTTTTTCTTAAAACAGACAGAGAAATTTTTAAACACAATCAATATATAAATTCGTTTCATTTACAGATACATATTTTTTTTAATTTGAATTTAGTCACTGTATTTTTACATAGATCCTTTAGAGTATTAAATTTAGCAATATTTGGAATAAATCTTAGAACAATATTTTTCATAGAAGAGCATCTAAATAACAGTTACAGCCGAAAGCATCGCGACAAAAACAACGCAAGGCGAAAACATCGTGCTACAAAACATCGTGGGAGAAAACATCGGAAAGAGAAAACATCGCACTTCTAAAACATCGTGGTACAAAATATCATCGTGGAAAATAAAGCCGTTCAAAAACTTCGCAGTTTAAAAACATCGTTCGTCGAAAATATCGTGGTAAAAAAATAAAGTGTAACGAGCCAGTTTCCTTAAGTCCCGATGAAGGCATCCCTCCCCTTAGGCAGATAGGCCTAGTGAGCTTTGCCATAATTAAATACACCAATACACCTATAAATGATCGCATGACGATAACATCGCAGACACGCTTTTATTCAGTTTTTAATAACTGTAAATGGATATTCCCATAATGATTTGTGAGCGCAAAATGGAAAGAAGGATAACTTTTACTTTCATATTTTTATTAACTAATAAATGTATGCTGATAAAATAAGAAGGAAAGTTAAAAAAAATTAATGCAACTTATAGCACTTAATAGAATTTTAAACCGACATAGTTAACTAACAAAGGCCATTAATAAATCGTTTTTTATAAAGTTTTGACGGGTAATTTTTCATGAAAAGTACTGTCTAAAAAAGAGTAGAAAAAGGAAGGCAAGTAACTACATGACCTTACCTATAAAAAAATTGCTTCTGTAAAAAATATAAAAAAATTATCAGCAAAAAATTATTAGTTAATAAAAAGTATGAAAGTTAAAATTATCCTTCTTTCCATCTTGCGCTCACAAATCATTATGGGAATATCCATTTACAGTTATAAAAGCCTGAAAAAAAGTTATTTCGTCATGCGATGATTTGTAGGTATTTTACTCGTATTTTTTACCGCGATATTTTCGACGACGATGAAACTGCGAAGTTTTTGAACCACTTTATTTTCCGCGACGATATTTTGTCGATGATGTTAAGTGCGATGTTTTCTCCGCGACGTTTACGTCCTTGATGTTTTTGCGGCGATGTTATCAGCAGACACCTACACTGGTGTGCAAAAATTAAGGACGAGAAGATTTTTTCAATATAACTTTGTACAAAAGCTTTCCAAATCAACACATTTAATACCGTAAGATCCCCAATATGTAAGGACATGAGGAATGTAAGCAACACTTACTAAAAGAAAATCAGAGGGATAAAAAGAAGCTTTATGAAAAAAGTAGCATGAAGCGCAATGCGACTGAGGCCGAAACATCCCTGTGATGGGTGTTCCAGCAAGAAACATCCGGTCTTTTAATAGGGGATATGATCTCCCCTGACTGCTAGGCAGGTTTCACAGCGTCTGCCCATGCTGAGAATGAGGGTGTCAATGAGTTGTTGAGGCTTTGCTGCATATTCGTCTTGCAGCGCCAATCGAAGCTCCGGAATCGTTACTGGTGGTAAGGTACGAGCTGCCAGGCGTCTGCCTAGAAAATCCCATACATGCTCTATGGGATTGAGATCCGGAGATCGTGCCGTCCAATCCATACGTTCAATACGCTGATTACCAATAAGTATTTGGACACCTGTGATAGAAAAGAAAAACTAACTTTATTCAAAATCAATAGTTGGTACAGCCTCCACGAGAGGTAATTATAGCGTGGATCCTCCGGGGCATACTTTCCACAAGTCTTTGTATGACAGCTAGTGGTAGTTTCTTCCACTCGGCTTGGAGAAGACATAGAAGTTCCTTCAGCGATTTTGCACGGGTAGTGCATCCCTGAATTCGGCGATGCAACTCGTTCGAGAGGTTCTCGATAGGGTTCAGGTCTGGACTCTGGGCAGGGCAGTCCATTCGATGAACTCCATTGGCACCATACCGAGCCTGGTTAACGTCGAAACATGACAACTGGCATTGTCGTCTGAAGAAACAGTGTCCAACCCGTAAAACTGCCACAACGTAGAAGCACATGTTATGCAAATAGTGCAGTAGGCATCGGAGTTGAGCTTACCATGAATGGGGACCAAGGGTCCCAGCCCATACCAGGAGAAACACCCCCAGACCATAATTCCACCTCTGCCGAACTTGACTGTTGGCACAATGCATTCTGGCAGGAGACGTTCTCCAGGTAGACGCCAGACCCAGACCTTGCCATCCGAACGGTAAAGGGTGAACCTTGATTCGTCACTCCAAAGAACCTGTTTCCACTGATCTACGGTACAATTTCGATGTGCTTTGCACCACATTAACCGAGCAACGCGGTTGGGCTTTGTGATCAAAGGCTTATGGGCAGCAGCACGACCATGAAAACCAAGCAGATGTGCTTCCTTACGGATGGTACCCATTGAAATAATACTCCCGGATGCCTGTTGAAACTCCTCGCGGATGAGGGCCATCGGTTGGGTGCGTTCTTCCGAATTTCTCTGGACAGCACTCGTCGGTCTCTATCTCCCAGTTTCGTTGGTCTGCCGACTAAGGGGCACATTCCGACAATCACCGCTCACCTTCCACTTCTTAATCACATAAGCCACTGTCGATTTTGGGTACTTCAGATCGCTAGATATGTCCCTTAAGGATCAGCCACATTTGTGATACCCGATAATTATACCTTTCTCGAAATCAGAGAGCTCCGAACTGCGAGGCATCTTGCATGCGACTAAAGCCGATGTCATTGTTATAAAGCCGATGCTGTTTCCTATACGATATATACCGGCGGAGTCCGTGACGTATCTTAGGACCGCAGATATCGTCATTTGCATAGGTGTCCAAATACTTATTGGTAGTCAGTGTATCCTCACTCTCTAAGAGCTGTTCGGCGATGATACTGTGCGATGACATGGTGCATTGTCGTCCATGAAAAGGAACTGCGGACCCATAGCGCCTCTAAAAAGACGCACATATGAAAGAAGAATCTCGTTACAATAACGGGTCCCGTTGACTGAACCTGCATCGAAGATGTGAAGGTCTGTACGACTACCAAGCATGATGCCTCCCCAAACGAGAACACCGCCACCTCCATACCTGTCCCTTTCAATGATGTTCGAGGGATGTTTGCGGCTTCCCCCCTCTCTCCAGATGAGTATGCGATGAGAATCGCTACTCAGACTGAATCTGCTCTCATCTGTAAAGAGTACTCGTCCCCATTCATTGTCTCTCCAATTCCGGTGTTCCCGGCACCACAGAGAACGTCTTCTCCGATGGGCAGGCGTTAGAGATACACACAGTACAGGGCGTCGTGCAAACAGACCACCACCGTGCAGTCTTCTGGCCACGGTAAAACGCGATATCGGTCATCCAGTCGCCTGTGTCGTGTGTCTAGCGATTTCTCCCGCTGTCTGCCGCCTGTTTCTTCTGGCCTGTAAGGCAATATACCGGTCATCTGCGGGTGTGGTTCCTCGTGGACGACCACTACTAAACCCCCGGATAGCTGTTCCTGTAGTTTGAAATTGTCTCCAAAGTCGTGAAACGATGCTGTGAGCAATTCCGAACTCTGCAGCCACACTTGTCAACTGCGGCCTTCCTCCAACTTCCCAATGATTCTACCTCGGGTAAAAGCATCCAGATGTCGTCTAACAGATTGATTATTCGCCATTTCTCGCTGAGGCAGCAACTCGGTGTGATTTAAACTGCTATACGGTGTGCAATCTCTTTTCCAGAAATACTGATCTTACACCGACAACATGCTTTATACTACTCAGACACTCCCCCATTACGTCTACCTGCATATCTGCGCATGTGCTACCGTACATCATCTTACTTAATCTCCTGATTGGTCTTTCTGTCCGCTCTGCCTCTTCGTTCAGCTGATATGCTAATTTTTCGACTTCGTCCTTAATTTTTGCACACCAGTGTAAATAACAGGTGCTCAAGATTGACATTACTCATGCCACAAGGACAGGCACAATTTTTAATCGAAAAACCTATTATAATAAACTGGGAAATGTCCATGATACAACATTAGCACACAATATAGTGAGCATATATTGTTTAAAGAATCCCGTGTTAAGACGTTTCTTTTGTTATACATGCATAACGTACGCTGCGTACCACATGCGTAATGTATGTTGCGAAATAGTTTCAGATTATATAGATGTTAAAATCCACTTAGTTTTGCATTTTCTAAACTGAATTATTGTAGAAATTTGCTCAAAATTTCATTTCATTCAGGTATTAAAAAACTGCGACGAATTGTTTGAAAACGATGAGCTGTCCGCAGTACCAGACGTCGGGTGGCCAGACTGTTTTAACTCGGGTGTATTCGTCTTCAGACCTAACGACAAAACTTACAACGACATCATCCAGTTTGCTGTCCAAAATGGAAGCTTTGATGGTAAAATTTTTACTTCATTAACTTCATTTTTTTGCTAATTTATGATTTTCGTTCTTAATTTTTGTTTCGCTGTTCTTACAGGCGGGGACCAAGGAGTTTTAAATATGTTTTTCAAAGACTGGAGGACGGCTGACATATCCCGACACTTGTCTTTCATTTACAATATGAATGCTAATGTCACATATACATATCAACCTGCATACAAACAGTAAGTATACTATTTTTGTCGCTGTTGTGCTCTATTTGAGGCTTTCCCAATTAAGGCTTTTTAAAAGTCACACCATTTCAGCTTCTCTTGATTTGGTTGGGTAAAAACGATTCCCATTTCAAACTTTTTATTCAGGATCAAATGCAAAATCCTAAAGTGTGTTCGAAAATAACGTAACTGCGATTTATATGTTGCCGCTAAAGTGTTATCAGTTATTCTGCTAATTATCTAGCTGATCTGCAGATTCACTAGTGTGATCCGTCAAGGTACGGAAAATTGTTTCATTTCTAGCCTAGGTAATTTGCACATTACCTAGATAATCTGAAAATTACCCACTGGGCACTTATTAAAGTAAGATCTTTGCTGGAACAACAGCAGTGTTTATGTGTGCTTAAACCAGCCGCCAGTTAACACTTTTAAATTGTTGATCGGATAGGATTTCAGGAAATGTTATTGCAAACCTAAATGAACCACAAATAGGTGTCCTTGTTACAAAATCCAACTGCTACGTGATTCAAAGTGTCACCAATCTTTATATTGCACTGATAAGTGAGCTTAATTTTATTATATATTTTTCAGATTCATTTCCTTAATTGCAATAATATTGGTACGAATTTTGTATTTAGATAGCTAATGTTGGTAGAATTACAATTGTTTTATTTCCCGTGCAATGCAGCGTGCGTACTAAAATTTATGTTCTAATTTCCTTAATTTTGCAGCACAATGCGCAAAATTTTTGACCACATCGGTCTATAGGTCTTTTTTCGTTTGTTCTTACTACTTAACTTTAAATTATATGTATATATATACACTCATGTCCATAAATTAAGGATAATTCGGAGTCACGCGGAAATCGAACTCTAAAATAAATATATCACATGTAAAATCACTACACACATCTTCAAGAATCGTATGCAAATTTCAGGAAGAAACCAGATGACACCGATGGTACGTCACAATGACGAGAGTGTAAGAGAGTGATATATAAGGAATACAGGCAAAGAAGTAAAATTGTTCGCAGGCGCTTTATAAGCATTTCAGTGCAATAACCGAATAGTTATGACACAAAGGACACATTTGGATGATTTTCACGTGGTAGAATTATCGGCCGTCTGGAATGTGGGCGTACCCAACTGGAAGTATCAGAGGAACTTGGAATTCCCAGAGTGTCATCTCCAGGCTTTGGCAACGATTCCAAGATGATGGTAATGTGAGTAGACGTTACAGCACAGGTCGCCCCAGAGTTACAACGCCGAATGAGGACAGTTATTTGGCAGTTACTGCCAAAAGAAACAGGCGGAGCACAGCCTCAGACCTGTCTCGTCAGCTCTCTTCAGCCACTGGTACGACAATTTCAAGGCAGACCGTGTACAGACGCTTAGGGCAGATATGCTCATAGACCTGTCAAATGCGTTCCACTTACAGCAACTCACTGTCGCCTGCGGTTAGCCTGTAGTAGAGAGTATGATTGTGGACACCGCAACATTGGGCTTGTGTGATGTTTTCCGACGAGTCCAGGTTTAGCTTGCAGTCTGATTCTCGCCGGACTTTCATATGGAGAGCTCCAGATACCCGTTACCACCAAGAAAACATCATTGAACGACACCGTTACGGTGGTGCAGGAGTGCTCGTTTGGGATGGAATTATTCTGGGTTCCAGAACTGACCTGCATGTTCAAATTGGAACCATGATTAGCCAAATCTATCGGGACGTCATTCTGGAACATGTACGCTTGTTTCGAGGCGCCGTGGGCGCACAATTTGTGTTTATGGATGACAACGCCCGTCCTCACCGTGCAAACATCGTAAGCGAATGCCTTCAATCGGAGGATATCACCCGTATGGACTAGCCAGCATTCTCACCGGACTTGAATCCAGTAGAGCACGTGTGGGACATGCTTGGCCGACGATTTGCAGCCCGTCAACCTCCTCCTACATGTCTACCGAAACTTCGGAGAGCATTGCTTTTTGAGTGGTGTAATATCCCCCAAGATCAGATCGATAATTTGATACTCAGCATGCCTAGGCGTTGTATTAACAATCATACCAACCATGTAATATTGTTTTTTTGTAAATAGGTGTTTTTGTAATTTGCTCCAGGGAGAAAAAATCGCTAATTTTTTTAATAATATCAAACATATAACATCGTTTTTTGCTCTTTACCTTTTGTTTAATAAATAAGCTTTACAAATAAGTCAAATTTGTTTTGCTTCTAACTCTTCCTTTCCCTGATTTCGCATTATACTTAATTTATGGATATGAGTGTATATGAGGGAGTCGGAGTCATTAAAATGCCAGGAGTCGGAGTCGGTCATTTTTCCTACCGACTCCACAGCCCTGATTTAAACTTTAGACATTGCTTAAATAAAACATAAATGACATTGGCTTACACTTAATACGAAAACATGATGCTTTTAAAATTTGAGTGTAGTATTATTATTTGCTAGTAAACAGAATTCTAAATCTCAGTTGGCTAGTAAAATTTCGATTTTTAAAATGGAAGGCTGCTAATAAATTTCGATTATTTGTCAGCATCCTCTTCAAAGCAGTTTTTCTGATATACTAATTATTTGTAAAATTCTTTAACGTTCCTTGGCAGGTAAGTTCCTGGAAATGGCTGAACTTGAATTTTTGAAATATCGAAAGCAATAAATTACATCGAAATCGATGCTTTTGTTTGAAACGATGGGTATAGCCCTTGTACGGCTTACCTGTTGGAGTTTTAAAAAATTCAGGTTCAGCCATTCGCATGGGAGCCCACCAGCGGCCGAGCGGTGAAGTCGCTGAACACTGGTAGTTCGGTCCGAGGTTCGAATCCCGCGAACGGGCTTGCTGAATGGGCGTTTTCCTGGATTTCTCCATGTGTGCCAGTTTCCCTTAGAAAGTCCTCCGCAAAGACATCCCTCCTCTTAGGCAAATAGCCCTCGAGCCTTTACAATAATTCACACACACAGCCATTTGCAGGAAGTTACCTGCCAAGGAACGTTAAAGAATTTTACGAATAATTCGTATATCAGAAAAACTGCTTTGAAGAGGATGCTGATAAATAATCGAAATTTATTAGCAGCCTTCCATTTTAAACATTGAAATTTTACTAGCCAACTTGACATTTTTTATTTCATTAGCCCAAAGGGGCAATTTACCAAGAAGGGCTATTAATTTCGTTTTGACATTTTGCGTTGCTTCACTATAAACGGCGAATCACTTTTTAAATTGTAGCTCCGAATATTAGAGCCATGTATTATATTTAAAGAAATTAAATAATGAAGATTCTAATTCAGAAGACAAACAACAAAAATCAGCGTTATATTTACAAAATTTCCACAGGACTAGTTTCGATGGTTTTACCGAACCACCATCCTCAGCTGCAAAACGGCAGATGAACAAGATCAATTTTATTCGGCGTGTTATTGTGTCTTAATGAAGATTCTGTATGAATGGATATATCTTTCTCGCATTGTGATAAAACAACGGTACCTAGAGCCATCCAGTTTTGAATAACGTACATCTCCACCCGAATATGGGCATCTGGTAGCCCGAATTTGGAATTTGTTTTATCATCTATTTCATATTTTGTAAAGCATTTATGAGTTTTTGATGAAGAAACTCACGCGATTTCAAAGCAAGCAATGACAACATTGTACGGAATATTTAAAAAAAAAAAAAAAAATATCTCCAGCGCGCGAGACTGTGTATCGGAAATTTTAAAGATATGCTCATTTAAAAATTATTATACGATATTGCTGTTGAATTGAGTTTTATGGTTTAAGTGCTAAGAATATGATATTTAATAAATAAAGGTAACACACGAAACGTTAAAAAACGCCCCTTTAGACGCAATTTTTTTTTTTTTTTAAGCGGAAGGTTTAATCATGATTTCCGTAGTTGCTGCAATTAACATTTGGTTTGCGGTGCCGCCCGGACGGTATAGTGGTTAGGGGAGCCTGACTGCGATACCGAATTGCCTGGGTTCGAAACCCGGACAAGGTATGGTCCGTTCGTTTATAGGAGGCAATGGTGGCCCACGTATTAGGCGCCTCCTTAATAAAGAGACCACCACATCTGGCCTTAGTATAGATTAATGGATTCTGTTACAAAACTGTAACTGTTCACAATCTGTCATTTGGAAGGGGGGGAAACATTTGGTTTACTTCACTTCTGCGCTTATCACAGTTGGAAGAAAAGCAATAAATTACATTTCGTGAATATTAAATTGCAGTTGCATGAACCATGGACGAATTGTAGATGAAACTGCTACCAAAACTTTAAGTCTGATTGGTCCCACTTATGTTGCCTTGCTGGTTTTGATTGAATTTCACTTCAATTGTCTTTGGCTCTTTAAAATAAATGCTGCTTTTCTTTTAATTATTTTTTCAACACTTCGAAGGTGACGCTATTATTTTTAGTAAGTAAATTTTCTCGTTTAGTAAAATATAAATCTCTGTGATTTTCATGAACAAGCAATGTAGTGAAAAAAATGCACAGCTACATTTTGAATAATCTTGAATCATCTTAAAGTCTTCCTTTATTAAATAAATTGTAAAGTATCCGTGTGATGTTAATTTATGAAGGAGTAATACGGTAGCAGATTGTTTTGTTATTTTGGTAAATTTTAGTTTTAAGTATATCATTTTAAGATATGTATCATGAATTTCTGGGAATTGTTAAGCTAGTAGACTTGTTGTAATTTTTAATTAGGAATTGTGCGAGGTGTTAAAGTGAAATTTGTAAACGAAGACGAGATTGCAGATTTGTTTTATATTTTCAAATAATAATTTGCATTTTTAATATTTTGTTATTTTTTTCACTGTTTTAAGTTCGAAAGACAAACGATAGGGCAACATGGTGAATGCTTTCTAAAGAATTCTTTTCGAGTTTTGATTTTATTCAACGGGAAACCTTTAGCCTTTTAAACTATTATCACAAAAAATACATAACAAATAGAAAATTCTTAAAAAAGGCTAAAAAAATTCTGAAAGCTTTCAGATTTTACATTGCGCCCAAAAGAGCGTTTTTTAATGTTCTGTGGGTTACCTTTATTTATGAAATGTCATGTTCTTCGCACTTAACCCTTTCGCCGTCCTCTCCTGTCCGCGAAAATTTCCTCCCAGCGGCCGTCTGTTTTTTGTAGCGTGTAATGTTGTTTTCTCTGTACATCATAACTTTCCATACATGACTTTCGTAGTATATTAAGTAAAATTATAAGGAAATAAAGCATAATGGAAAAATAATAATATCTCTGCTTACTTCTAACAGCAGGATAATTTGATAACATCTGATCCAGGCGGTCCACTCCTCCCATTTTGTTGTTGTAATCTTTTACAGTTATTGGTTTTTTTACAATTCTTTTCTGTGTTCCAACATCAATCATCGAGTTATTATGGACTTTACTCATCAAACGCATATCCTCCTTGTCTTTCCAATTCACAACCTCATTTTTTCTCTTTTTCTGCTGAGTAGACGTTGAAGCCATCTCTCACTGTCTTGTACCTTATGTAAAATCGCGCCAGTATTCACAAAACCCGGGGCAAATTCAATTAGGAATAGCATGCCTGATTAGTGTTACCCTCTAGGAGGTATTAGAACAGGTGACAGGTGACGGAGGACGGGGACGCCTGGTGTTTAACATAGGTAAACAGGCGTGTGTCCCACGCCCTCCCCTATCTAGGAATAACAACTCCCTGAGGCCCCGTGAGGCTGCCTCGGGAGTTTATAATACAGATCGAAAGATCAATACATGTCCAAACAGGGGCTGAGGATTATTGTTTGACAATGGTTGCGTGACAATAACTTTGTGATTGTGCATGGCCGTTGGAATAACACAGATACATAAAAATACACAAAACAAATACAAGAATAGATACATGTACAGGCAAAAATAAACAAATACTAACAGATACGAACATAAGGATGCATTGATGTTAAGATAAATATGAAGAGAGACACATATGTAAGATACAAGAGTAAAAACCTTAACTAAAATACAGAATGGGGCAAAGGGAGTCATATGTGTATTGCTGGTATCCTTGTGATTGTAAATGTGCTGTGAGTACTTAAACACAGAGATGAAGCAATGAGTACCGGATGTAGAGTTATGGTGCCAGGACTTAGTGTTAGAGTTCGCTGAAAGTACAGTCTGCACTATAGTTCAAATTTGCAAGAGTTCAGGCTACACTAAAGTTTAGTGTACACTGTGGTACTAATAGCGGTGCTACTTTGGTAGACGGTTGCACGGATTTTGGCGATTTTCCTTTGGCGAGTAATACAACTTATGGTAAACCCATTGCTGGATAAGTTATTGTCGGCAACGAATATCGAATTTCGAAACTTGCTGGTAAGCATTTCCTCTCCTTATTGAGGCATAACACGATATTCTGAGCAACCTCCGACCTTACAGATCACTTTCCGAATGAGAAATCCACTATACAACGTTTCTTTTATGCAGTGCATCAGATGTCGTTTCTCCCTCCGGGTGTGGCAATTTTATTGGCCAGCAGTGTACTTTATGTTTGATATTTTTTCTTACCGCTTGGCTTATTATATGATTGAGACGTAGTGGCAACGATCAAAAAATTGTGAATGTTCTTTCGAAAGAAAACGAATTGTAAATAGCTGTAAATAAATTAAGATAAAATAACACGCCGAATAAGTATTAATTTAGAACTCAAGCAACAAAAATCAGCGTTATATTTACAAATTTTCACAGCAAATGTAAATATAACGCTGTGTCACAATAATGTAAATATAACGTAGCAAATGTAAATATAACGTTTTACAAATGTTCGTAGAAAATGTAATATAACTGTGAAAATATGTAAACATAACGCTGATTTTTGTTGTTTGACTTCTAAATTAAGCTGTAAAGTTTTCCGTGTGATAAAATGGCAAAAAATCCAAAATGTCCTTTGGATTTCATTAAGAAAAAGTAAGCAGAATAATTTTCTTATTAAATATTGTTAAATGTTGAAGATAAAAGTAAGAAAATACAAATTATAAACACAGACAATAATGCAAATGCCCCCCCCATTCTGCTTGGAGAAAATGTGGAAACCCTAGAATATTTTTTCTGACATTGTATTTTTTTCCTTTTTAAGTAATGTGGTTTAAATATATGTATATATATATGTGTGTGTGATGTACCAGCTTTTGTCCGGAATAAATAGATTGATGAAGAATCATAGATGTAGTTGTAGCTTAAATTATCAGACGATAAGTTTAAGAAACAGGATCCATTTATTATATTTCAGGAGAAAATAGCAGTTACAAAAATTAAGATCTCCGGAGTAAATAAAAAAGAATTACTAATAACTTTTTGTATGAAGTTTACTGCATCGTGACATTAAAGAAATAGCTCCGATATTCTTTTGCGAGTTTTTTTTATAGCCTCTGGAAAGGCGGAGCTTTCAAGAAATGACGTCAGCCTCGTCAGCCAATCCAGTTCGCTTTAAATATTTCCAGAACATTCTATAACTCTACGTGTAGAAAAGGCGGGAAAAACAACTTGACTACGGGGCTGTGGATTTAGTTCCACGTACTTTCAAATAAGAGAACGTCGCTATTAAAAATGAAAAGAACATACAGTTAGAATTTTAAGTGTATTCTGACTATGGAATTTTATTATTACAAATATATATGCTTAAGTATAAAATATTTTCTTATTCTTTCAATAAAATATTTTTCCAAATATAGGTGATAACGTCCATTTATACTAGATAAATTTTCGTAAAATGTTTTTAGCATAATACAAAATACTATACTGATATATATATTTATTGCAGACTGTGTTCTATATTTTCTGTGCAACTCAGTCCTGCGTTTTCATCGTGTAACTAATTTTCTTGGCTGCTTTTCTCTTAAGGTTCGGCAAAGATGTTAAAGTCGTACATTTCCTTGGACCCATCAAACCGTGGATGCATTTTTACAACAGTGAAACTGGGCGAGTTCAGTCCGACAGTCCTCACTCACAAGAGCACCTGCAGATATGGTGGGACATTTTCATGAAGCATGTTCAACCTAGTCTGACAGCAGAATGTGTAAGTACTGTTCGGTTGTGACGAATTCCGTATGTGTCTTGTAAATGGAGATAATTGCCGAAATACCTATTCTTCCTATTATAATCCATGTTAATTTTAAGCTCTATTCCATAGGGTAAGTCTAAAATATATCTAATCATGTTCTATCTAAAAAAAATAATAAATAAAATTACATTAATGCAATTTTTGACATTATAGTTAGGTTGTAAAATGAACTGTGTAATGATATATGGACTGAGTTTCATTTTTTATGGGCAGTCTTCCATAAAAAATTAAATGTTGAGAGAATGAAATTTTAACAAAGAAGTAATTAAATTCTTTATTGCAGTTTCGTTTTTAAGACCGGTTCATTGGAATTTTTCGGTAAAGTCGCTGAACACTGCTAACACGGTCTAGGGTTCGAATTCCCGCGAACGTGCTGTTTGCATGGGCGTTTTCGTGTTCTACACCTGTATGTAACGTGCATACAAGCAAGTTTCCCTTAAGACCTCCACGAAGATATCCCTTCTCTTAGGCAGATAGTCCTGCAGTGCTTTGCCATAGTTAAACTAAACTAAACCAAACCATAGCAGAGTTTTAGGACTACTCAGCGTTTTGCGAAACAAAAACTTGCCATGCGTTACTTCAGGTTTCTCAAATGAAACTTGCTTGCAAAAGGACAGCTGAAAATACGACATGTATTACATGTTTCTACATGCAGAAAAATAATGCATATAGCTACCGTGAATCCGGGCTGGAAGAAGCAGTGCTGGTTAGGAACTGTATTGTCGATAGACTAGGGAGTATAGGCAAAAACTCTTCGGGTAGGTAATGATAATCGTAAAAAAAGCATCTGAAATGTTTAAAAAGGGAAGGCACCTTTGTATTGCAATGTCTTTTCACCATATCTGGCCTGAGGAGCATATTTACTTGCTAATCAAGCTAAATTTCAGCAGATATATCATTTTCTTATTTCAGCTTTTTGATATTAATAGAATGTTTTTCTGTCATGCAAGGTCCAGACCCTTTTGATCTTCAACCAGTTAAAGATGGAGTACTTCAATCTTCTGTTTAAAAGACTATCCTGTCTCTTATTTTATGCCCATGACTTCCAAGACTTTTTCGCAAAGCTTCACTCTTTGCTCGCGTAATACGCAGCTGATAAGGCGAAAGACTGTGTCAGAAAGTTAAATCACGCCATTCCACAATGAGGCAAAATAGTTAAAATCTTGGTTTTTAATCCTAAAATGAAATTCATTAAATATATACGGTGTTGTGTACTGATTACATTGTCCATAATATAAAGGGGTTGCTCAAAAATATGAAAACACCTAAAAAAACATGCTGTGTCTAATACGATGTAGGAAAACAGCTTGTAGTGTTCTTGAAATAAATGAATAGTGGTCTTGTATGCTTTTCAAAAGAATCTTGTACCATTCTTCCTGTAAAACGTTAGCAAGTTCGATTAACGATGATGACGGTGGATAACGCTCACGCAGATTTCTCTCCAAAATGGCCCAGAAAGGCTTAACAATATTCGTATCTGCTGACTGTGGTGGCACAGTAGATGTGAAAATTCACCCTCATGCTTAAAAAACCAGTCCTGGACGATGTGATTTGAATGAACAGGAGCTCTGTCGTCTTGGAATACGGCATCATCGTTCGGGAACAAAATTTGCACCATGGGATGGACGTAATCAGCCAAAATGGTCACATAATCTTTGGAAGTAATGTGGGCTTGCACAGTGATGTTGGGTTCCATAGAATACTACGATATGGCTACCCAAACCATGACCGATCGTCCGCCATGTTTCTCTCTCGGCAATAAACAGCTTGTATCATACGTTTGGACGGCTTCGCCAGACATAAACTCGCCGAGAAGTTGGAAAACATTGTGAGCCAAGACTCATCCGAGCAAATGACAGTGTTCCGTTGCTCTACAGTCCAGGTTTTAGACTTTGGCACCACTTTCTCCTCTTACAGGCATTTCGATCACTGATGAGCGGTTTTTGAATTGCAGCTCTCCCAAAAATACCCTGCGTGTGGAGTTCCCTTCATTTTATTTTGGTACTGACAGGGTTTGCGAGTGCAACATCAGTTCAGCAGTTACTTTTGCGGCTGTAGTTCTCTTGTTTTTCATCAATATCCTCTTCAGTGATCGCCTGTCATGATCACTCAACACACATTTTCGTCCGCGCTGTGATGTAGCGGATACGGTTTTTCCGGTTTTCCTGTATGAATTAAAAATCTTGGATATTGCGCTTCGTCAAACACTTCAGATATCTTGATTACGGAAACACCCACCATACGAGCCCCAATAATTTCCCCGCTTTCCAATTCATTTAGCACCGACATGATGCATTCACAACTGCACAGAACACTGTCTCGACAATGAATGACACTTGCAATGTATTGAGGACGTTGTATAGATGTATTTACTGAGAAACATGCATGCAAGGATAAGCATTTCAGTTCAAACATGCATTTTACGAGGTGTTGCCATATTTTTGTCCAACCCCTATACTTACATCATCAATAATATACTTATTATACTATTAATGCTTTGCAGCATTAGAAACTGAACTTTTAGACTCGGTAACTCGATTACCTTTCTCATACGTTAAACAGAAACGGGTGTTCTTGCATTTGTTATGTAAGAGCTCCTAAGTTGATGCTTTCAAGATAAATTTTGAGCTTTTTTTAATCCTTTTATTTTATACAATCCAGCGGTCACTCATTTATTTTTATGTCTTGATCCAGCGGTAACGGAATTAGCATGATATACTCGTAATACAGCCAGATATTTTATGGAGAAATATATAGGTTACTGTCTACCATATATGTAATTATGGATCTTAAATAATATCCTGTGTTTAATTGGTGATTAGGATAACCAAAAATCGTTCAAGAATCCTGCAAAAAAGATTTCAGATTTAATTAATAAATATATTTGTGTACGGTGGAAAGGCGATAGTAAGATGGAGCTAGTAAAGAGAAAATCTTTGAATTTACTGAAAACAGCGTTTAAATGGGTACTTGGTTACTTAATTTAGAAGTAAAATATCATTTACCCTTTGACTACTAACGGTACATGTATGTCCCGCTCAAAGTTTAAAAGTTGCTGCTGATTTAAAAAGTACGTAGAATCTCTTAAATGTTGGGATGAACTTCCAATAGTTGGAAAATCAAGACGCCGTTGTGCTCGTTGTATGCAAATGAATATAAAGAAAAGAACAAATTACACATTGGGCAACAAATTAAATTGCCCAATGTGTAATGTTGAGTTATGCAAAGAATGCTTTATCCTGTACCATGCTATGTAAAATCTATTTCGTATAATAAAGTTTTCCAGAATATTAGGTGCGTTTATATTAAGTAGATGGGATATATGTATCCCACCATTAACTACGGCTGGAACATACAGTGAGTAAAAAATGTATTGGCAATTGCCTATAATTGATGCTATTAGTTAACAAAGGAAATTGGAATTTTGTGCCATTTTTGCAGGAGTATAAGCTAAAGTTCATCTTTACACGAAATTTTGCGAAATTTTAAGTTTCTTTGTAAGGATCTTAAGTTTTACTAACGTTTATTTTATTTTAAATCTTTACTATCACTTCTTATTTTCTACTTCCGGCCAGAATTAAAAGCTTTAACTTATTTATGCACATTTGTTGGCGAACGCCAAGTACTTAAGTTGTGGCTTTTTGCCAAGCAAAAGAGAGGAAGGAGTTGGTAGAAGCAGGCCGCTTGCCTTAGCAGTTTTACTCGGTTGCTGGTTGCCTTCCAGGCCAGATCCTTGATAATTTTAAACGTATTGTAGTGTTAACAGTTCTCTGTACTACATACGGCTTCCTGTTAATATACGGCCAGTCTTCTCGGAGGCCCTTGTTTATTATTTCAAAGTTAAGTTAGAGTTTAGTTAATATTTTTATATTCTTACGTTCAGACCACAAGTGGTTGGTCTTTGTATTCCGAAGTCCGGAAATTATTGTAAAGAGTGAAAAATAAAGGGTTTCGTATACCCTTCCTGTGTATCTTGTCTACTTCCCACATTTATTGAACATAGCTCTAGTAAGCTTCCTGTTCCGAGTCAGGTCTTTGCATGTTCCCAAAGCAAGTAAGGCGGAACACAGAACCTGATATCTTGAATTCCAAGTCAAATTTGTGCCATAAAGTTTCGAATGGATTTATGTCAGGCGATTGAGGCGGTGTCTTTAAGTGGCGAGAAGTCGGGGGACGTTCGAGGATCATTTTCCTGTTAAAACAGGAATGATGTTCCTAACGCAAGTTTTTGGGCGCTGAATTTCAAGTTATGGCGCAGTATATCAATGTACGATCGTGCTGTCATAATGCCATCAATGAAACACGGGTTTCTAACTCCGTTTGGCTTCCATACAGCCCCAAACTACGACGCTCCCTGCACCATGTTTCACAGAAGATGTTAAATATTGTTTTTCCAGTTCGGTGCTAGGCATTATCCACACATATTGTCGTCCATCACTCCCGAAAATGTGTAAGTTTGACTCGTTGGAGAAAATAACTGTGTTCCAAATCTCATCTGATAAATTAATATGAGATTTTGCAAAATCTAATCGCTTTCTCCTGTTTATTTCAGAAATGAAAGGTTTCTTTCTAGCTGGCCTTCCATAACAACTTTCTTCGTGTAAAGCATTCCGTATAGTCTGTGGACTAAAAGTTTTATGCGATAATATTAGCAACATCTTTGGCTAATAAGAGTTCACTTATTTTAGGATTTTTCTTAACCTCTTTGATAATACCATGCTTCCCCCCCCTTGCAAAAAATATTCGAGGCTGCCCATTTGTAATCTTTTTTTCCGCCGATTCTGTCACGCTGAACATTTTTAAAACACTTCTAACAATGAATAAACTTATGGTCAGTGAAATTCCTATAGCACGATAAGTTAAACTCATTTCTGAGTTGAATAATTATGTTTTTAACATTAACATCCAACTCCTTCGACTTCGTGTTATGACAGTATTAACAATATAACGTTTTA